GGAGAAGAGAAGGCTCCTCAAGGGGACACCTTAGAGCAGCTCCAGGGCCTAAAGGGGCTCCAGGAAACCTGGAGAGGGGCTTTGGACAAGGGATGGAGGGACAGGACAAGGGCAATGGCTTGAACCTGCCAGAGGGGACACTGAGATGAGCTCTGAGGCAGAAGCTCTTCCCTGGGAGGGTGCTGAGGCGCTGGCACAGGGTGCCCAGAGAAGCTGTGGCTGCCCCATCCCTGGCAGTGTTCAAGGGCAGGTTGGACACAGGGGCTTGGAGCAACCTGCTCTAGTGGAAGGTGTCCCTGCCCATAGGAGGGGGTGGGACTGGATGTGCTTTAAGGTCCCTTCCAACACAAACCATTTTATGACATATGGTATGACCCAGGTGCTCTAAAAGCTTCTCTAAACCACTGCAGAGCTCTGGACAGAGGCAGAGCACAGGAATCATGTCCTGTGTTCCAGCCTGTGTGAAAGACAGACCTGCTCCAGTCTGTCACACCGCTTCTCGAATGTAACCACTGGTTCTAAGGCAAAGCCATCTTGATGTAGTGACAGCAATAATCTCTTTGGGTCTCATGGTTGTGTAGGCAACGGAGAAAAAAAGCTTACGGCTTTTGGAGTCTTCAAACTTTTAAGGTGCCAAAAAGATATACTTGACCCCAGTGCCTAGGTATCTTTGCTGCCCCGATCAGAGACCAACCCCAAATACTAGCAAGAGGATTTTTCAAGATGCATCCAGTATCTTTTGTGAAAACAGGGATGAAAACCAGAATAACAGAAAGTATATTATTAGGAGCCTGGATATACAGCACAATGTATGATAGATACTATAGACCACTAATACTATGCTCTGGGATTACAAAGTTTGTTACAGTCTGAATGTCAGTTAAACCTTGCCTAGTGAAAAGACACGTCATGGAGAAACGATGATCTAAGTCTGAAATAAAACTAAATTAGAATATAATTAGAACAGAAAGAAAAATACATGATACAGATAAAGGTTCTTCTGCTTAAGACCTTTACTCACTTAAGAGGCCACACATCTGCCATCTGAAAAAGGGATGTGAGAGTGATGAAGAAAATTTTCCAAATAAATCAATATTTTTTATTTGATGCACCACCACAAGGTTCAGCATTATATTCACCAGACCCCTCCTACACAGAGGAGTCCTAAACTTTGAGGATCTTCAAAGTGAAGCAACACAAATCTCTTCCAGTTCGGGTATTTTCGCTAGCTTCAACCTAAGTTTCAACAGATGGAAGCTCCCCTTTGATGATTAGACAAAATTGCCAAAAATGCTGAAGTCAATAGCCCTTCAAATACTGGAGCTACTACAATCTTGATTAAAGTTCCTTGAACAGTCCTTTTTTCAAGAAGCACTATTCTGGCCTTTTTTTCCAAAAGTAACAAATAATAAAAATATGACACTCCTGAAATAGGAGAGAAAACAGTCCTTAACCTCTTCGCTGCTCGCAGTTCCAAGGAAAAAAGCTTACACGTTTCTCATCATCTGCACATGGCACTCTACGCTGCAGTGACTCCATAGAGCTTTATAATCAATTATATTGCCCTTTTCCCTCCTACGTTCAACTCCTAAGCTCCCAGGAAATGCAGTGAACATCCTTAAATACGACAAAACATTGTTAACGTTTAGATTTGGAAGTAATTGAGATTACAACCTAAACCAATTGTAACTACAGAAAACAATGGAACGTATTAGAAATACCAACTAACTTCTACTGGCACCACAGGGTGCTGCTCAGTAGTGACACAACTAAATCCCGGTATTTCATTTTTCCTCCATATGCATTTATAGATTTTAATGAAGTGAAAACGTACTGATAACAACCAGATGTTCAGTTATGTATACCAGCTCTTAACAAGCTGCTGAAAGAAGCCTTTATAATTTAACTTTGGGAACTCTATCTTGCACCATAATGTTAGCAATAGTTTCTACATTAAAGTCACACAATTAAATACTGAAGTGGCATATTTTTGCTGATTATGCACTTTTAATCATTAATGTACACTCTTGAGTGCTAACATTAACAAAACCAAAGAAAAAGCTGAGTATCCATAACATACCCAAGGGAGCCATAAATCAAACACCAGCATACCATAACACAAGTGTTATGAGGGACTGCACAAGTCTGATTCTTGAAAAGCAATAATGCTGTAGTTTCTATAAAATGTTTTAAAATTAAATGTGAAACCTTCTTCCTTGACATTTTGTAAAATGCAGCAGGGCCTGTTTTTCAAGGGATAATTCAAGATATTTTTAATAAACCTCAGGTACATAGCCACAATGCTGCAGAACCCCATGGTCCCTACTACAACCTGGTTTAGATGTGCCGAGTCAAACTGCCTTAAAGCATTTACCTTACCCAATACAAACTAACTTTGAGAAACAGTTTCTTAAATTCACCATACACAATTCTGAGACACTCCTAGATGTGCTTTGCTGTGTATCTCTGCAGCGCCTCAGCACCCTCCCAGGGAAGAGCTTCTGCCTCAGAGCTCATCTCAGTCTCCCCTCTGGCAGTTTCAAGCCATTCCCACGTGATATTTAGAACATTTCAAAAGCAAAGAGTGCAGGACTGTTGTACAGGTACCTCTGCTCCTGGATTTTGGACACTGACATGGTCTTTGATGGTTTAAAAATAATCTTAGTATTTCAGTGAAGGAGGAAAATCAGAAGCTTAAACCGGGGTGTAGAGAAGCAATATATTTAGACAGCAGCTGCCAGCTGTATCCACTCCTTCATGAAACTGCATCCACAGAACCCAAGGGACACACAAATTGTGACAATCCACAGTTCAGGCTATTGAGTGGTCCTAACAAAAACTTTGCTATTCTGAATGACACTTCAAAGACAGGCTCAGCATGGATTATTTTAATGGTCTGTCACAACAAAAATTCATCTTTATAGCAGCTTTACAGAGACCTTGTTAGCAGAGCCACTGTAAGCTGCCAATGCTGCCTATCCTCTAGCAAGTGATCCCTAGGTTTGAACACTTTGTGTATTATACACAATCTATTCCTTCCCAAAATTCACATACTAGGCTTATGATTTTCTTGATTTATTCCAGCCAAAAGACAGAAATGAACTATCCCTTTGATACAAAGCAGGGAAAGAATTTACAGCATAAATCTGACCAAAGAAAGGAGGGAAGTAAAACGTAAACTCACTACTAAAATAATCCTCATCATGCTCCAGCAAATAGAATTACAGTAAGCAAAAATCTCAGCTTTATAACATCTTTATGAAGAACAGAGTTGGATTATGTATTAGAGAAAGCAAGATTTTTCGTACCTCCTTTCCTCTATCCTTCTCCCCCTTCGATGATTTAGGGATAAAATTGTTAGTTAAGGTATTATCACATTGCTACAAACATTATACTGGTCATCAAGACAATAACTTGCTTTTGTAAGTTTTACTATCTTACTAACAGTTCAGTAGCATTCTATTTCAGGGAACCAAAAAGCTAAGAAAACCTATGTGGGGAAAAAAAAAGAATAATCAAAACCCAAACTTTCCACAACTTTCACTTTTGAAAAGTGAATGTTTTCAATATAGCTGAACATTTAAGATTATAGACAGGCTTTGACTTTTGGTGTTTTTTTTTTTTTTTAATAAACCATTATTATCACTATATTATTCAGTAAACTAAGTGCTTTCAACAGCTACTTCCATTCCATTCCACATTCACAAAGAAATAGAGATGCTGACAGGTTCCGTTGTTCAAAAGGGTTAAGAACAATCCTGCCTGCAAATTTTTTTCTGCCAGAAAGACAGAGTAAGTAATATTGGACCCCACGCACACATTGGGACTTAGAAGAAAGAAAAATAAAACCCTGCAGGATTTATGAACTTGCCCATATATCGCAGTCTTTTCACCCTTCATACTTCCTTTAATCTGCTCCAAACAAAAAGTGTATCTGTTCCAGGAAGTCCTGACAAGCTCTGCAGAATGACACTCTAAATCATATCACTAATTCATTACATACTACCAACACAAAACCCTCATGTAATGGTGACAGAGTTGTATTTAATGAGAGCAGTGTTTCAGAACCCATTGCATCTTTGTCAGCTTTCCAACCAAAAGAACAATCTGAATTACAAAAGCTAAATCGTCAGCAGAGCTTTACACTACACTATAAGAGATAATCTGAAACTCTTATTAATTAAAGCTGTGATGCTTTAATTGGGGCACTATATTTTAGGCACAATACCATCTAGCACTGCTAACACTATCTTTGGTGAAGTTTATCTGCAGAAAAAAGAGGTTAAAACTTATCAGGACAGGTGGGTAAAACGATTCTTATTTCCAAAGAACAAATTAAGCTCTCCTTCATGTAATACTGAAGTATGTTTCATGACACATATCCCAGTGGAATGTGGAATCAATGTCCCTCAAATACAGCAGATGCATGAAAAAAGCTAGGTAAGCAAATCTGGAGATCTACAGAAACATTCCACTTACTCATTGGTCTTCTCTCTTCTTCAGACATCAATTCACTGATATTTCAGAAATCAGTATTAAATGAATCATTGCACTTATTTAATGCACATGCAGTTCAAAAAGCCATGCAACCATGTAAGAGGAACTTTAGTTTGCACCTTGCTGCATCCCCTAGAGATGAAGCAACACCCCAATGCACCTCTCCTTGTGCAATCAGCACAACCATTTCTAGCCATAAGTTACCAGCAACTGTCTCTGTGCCCACAGCCTCAAACAAATGTCGAAACTACTACAGAATAAAATGGGACAACTTCTTGTGGTGGTTTGAAGTGTGTGCAAGATGCTAAAGCAGTTCTTCCACCAGAATACTCAGGGCTGATACTGGCATCAGGTTATCATTATCAGTACTGCTCCACCAGAGGTGGAGCTTTCGAACACAAGTCTTTAAACATTATAACCCCATCACTCTAAGTTTTATATTCTCTCAAACCCTCAGTTTATACAAGGAGGCTAGAAAAAGAGAAAGGAAAAAGCCAACTTACAAGAGGGGAATTTCAACAATGAGCTGGATGAGGCAACACAGCAATTCTTCTATTAGGTCCTCACATTCTGTTCCTGAAAAGAAGTATATAAAGATTTTCTGGGTTTTCAAATACCAAAACAAAGCAAAAATTTATACATCTAGATCCAGGCAATCAGTATTTTAATTAAGGAACAAACACCAGACGATAAATTCTACGTGTTTGAAAAGATGGCATTCTTTCCTGAAATAGAAAGCACTTAGGATTATCACCAGGATAATGGTGATGCTTACCCTTTTATACATGAAATAATAACTAATAACAAGTGGAAAATGAGATGTTGGTACTGTCAGAATACACTAATATTAAGCACATCAAGCCTTAATTTCCTCTTCTACCTAAGGTCACATTAAATAGGGTTATTACTAACAGTTGAACTGATCACTACTGACTTCTCACTGTTCTACAGTTCCAAGTCCCATCTCAAAATTCTCTGCACTTCACACATTCTCCCAGTTTTTTGAAATCCCAAGTGAAGAGTAAGTAGAATAGATAGAAAAGTGTTCCAATTGCCTAAGATACACTGAGCAATATTCTAAACTGTGATCCTTCAAATGAATGCAGCCTGCTGTACACATCACTGTTGCTCTTAAGCAATTAAATGTACACACTATTTTTTCATACATATTTATTTACTGAAGATGTTTCACACATTTTAACAACAAATAAGGATTCATGAATTTTTAAAGTGCCTTTCAAGTGAGCAGAAATTATTCTCTGCTCGCACACAATGTGACAAAATGCATGGGACTTTAAAAAATGCATAGTTATTTTAAAAATTCAACTATTCCAAGCAATAAAACTGGTGGTATTTTACACTAGCACTGCAATTTTTAAGAGCAACTGTAATAAAAACTTGCAAGACTTACTGAGGAAAAAGCTTATTAAACCATTTGAAGTTGTCACAAAATGCTAAAAAAAAATAAAAATAAAAAAAATATAAATCCCTTTCTGCTTTCAAAATAAAATTATAAAGAGAAACCTACAGCACGAAGAAGTGTAGGGTTTTATAGAGCTGAATGGCCTAAAAGCAGGCATAGTTTTTCCCCTCTGCATTACTTGACAGGCATTATAGCTCAGTGATTACCCAAATGCTTGTTTATTTTGTATTTTCAAATAAATACATCTTGCAATAAACACATTACAGCCAGGTTATGGCAGTGTTACTCTGTTTAACCCAAGTTTGTTCTTACAGCCAGGACTCAATTTTAAGAAGCACACCAGAGGGAATATTCACAATAAAGCAAAATTATTTCTTTCCACAATCGGTTTATTAAAAACACATTAAAAATTGTCACCTAGTGAACTGCACATTCTAAAGGAAATCAGGTTTTTATCACGGAAACATGGTTTCCTTTATATAGAATCCCCCATGAGTAACACAATGTAGCTCCTGTTAGTAAAAAAAGAGAACTGCTAGGAGTATTTAACCTTAGACAGAATCACAGCCAATAATGAAGCCCAGATAATGTATTTTATAAGTAACTTGAACATGACAGTTTTCTAAGGTTTTCTGAAGCTAGAAAATGCTTATAGAGCAAGACTGCTTCCCAAAAAGTGTCTCATTTTCTTAACAACTGAGGAAAGGGAGAAGGAGAGAAGAAAAAGGATGAAAAAAGTAAAGTGAGTGCATTTTAAGAATATAATTTCTTCCACCATGCTGTACACACGACTCCTCTGAAGACAGATTAATGTTATCTGAATATGAACGAGGGCTTTTTCCTCCAAACTATAATCAACATAAAGCAAGAAAATATTGAGTTAGTACAATCACGTAGAATGGAAGATGTTAGTCTTCCCTGCTCTGCTCTCAAAGTCTTTTTTCTTTAAAAATAAAAAAAGAGGCTTAATTGCTGTAATCAATGTCATTCAGCTACAATAACTAATGTATCCTTTTCCCCATTGGGGCACATGCATTCTTGTTTAATCCTTGTCTTGCCAAGACAATGAGGCGGACTCATGCCAAATCTATAACGTGAGAGAGAGCTACAAACACAGAACACTATGTGTTTTCATAAACAATGCCCTTTTCAATAGCAGGATAGAGACAATACACACAATACTCATTCGCATTAATAGATCACATACTTGGATCAAAGACACGTGTAAAGCCCTGGGGAAAATAAGTAAAGGGTGAATCTGTCCAGATAAGATTACAGCAGACCTGCACAGAGAAGGATCATAGGTGCATCTTCTACAGTCTGCTGCAGTGCAGGAGTAACTGCAAATACACACAGCTTTTAAATGTCCAGTTATGCTGAAGCACCATCTTTCACCAACATATTTAAGTCCTCAAGCATGTGGATTACTTGCACTGTGGGTTTTTTTGTGGTGGGGTTTGTTTGGGTGAGGTTTGTTGGGTTTTTTTTATGTAATTTGTTTTGGGTTTATTTAACTTTTTCAAAGGTATGCACACTGCAGACACTGGGTTAGCACTACACTGGCAAAATGGCTTATCCAGAGGAAAGTACACACGCCAGAAGAGTCCACTTCTAGTAAAACCAGCCCAGCTCCATCCTTGGCCATGAAGCAGGGTTTAACATTGACAATAAAACCATCCTTCCTCTCAAGAAGCTAACTGCTGTGTTGTCAAAACCTGATCTAGGCTGCTGTAGCAGCTGGATGTGCTTGTAAGATATTCAGGCAGAGCAAGGTTCTTTTTCTTCCCTGCTGCTCCTACAGATAGGATAAAACCCAGGCACCAGTAATGAGATAATTTGTTATTTGCAAAACAGTACCTAAAGCCCCATCCATTCAATCCATTATATAACCAGTGGACTTAAAGCTTCTTTGGGTTTTGTGGTTTGATCTACAGGTCTGTGGGCTCTCAAAAGCTCCCAGCTTTCACTTAAAAGTGTTAATAATGAGTACATAAAATAAATGAGGGATGGCAACTAGTTTATATGACAGCTGAGCACTCAAGAAATCATTTGAGGATTAAAGGAAATGTATTGTTATTTATTCCCTCTTCTTTGTCCTCGTATTTGCTGTAATACAACAAATACTGCCCTTAGCAGCTGAGTGATAAAGATTTCTCTACAGAGTATGAATAAAGTTTCCTGCTTCAGGTCAAAAATAGGTTAAATGCATTGATGGTTTCATTTAGAATATAATAAACAGCATGTGCTCTCTTACACCTCTGAATCACAATAGTAAAAGACTGTGCCAAAATTATGGGATACAGACAGAGGAAGCCTCACTGAAAGATGAATGATTTGTATCAGCCAGACTAACTCCAGCTTCAGATCAGCATATGCTGGGTCTGGCTTACGATTTATTAATATCCAGATTTTTTAGCTGAATGTTAAAGAATATGGTTTAAATCTCTATAAGGATTTTCCTACCATCAGCAATCTCCAATATCGTATCACAGAATGGAATGGTTTCTGTTGGAAGGGACCTCAAAGCTCCTCCAGCTCCAACCCCTGCCACGGGCAGGGACACCTTCCACTAGAGCAGGTTGCTCCAAGCCCCTGTGTCCAACCTGGCCCTGAACACTGCCAGGGATGGGGCAGCCACAGCTTCTCTGGGCACCCTGTGCCAGCACCTCAGCACCCTCATAGGGAAGAGCTTCTGCCTCAGAGCTCATCTCAGTCTCCCCTCTGGCAGGGTCAAGCCATTGCCCTTCTCCTGTCCCTACATCCCTTGTCCAAAGCCCCTCTCCAGGTTTCCTGGAGCCCCTTTAGGCACTGGAGCTGCTCTAAGGTGTCCCCTTCAGGAGCCTTCTCTTCTCCAGGCTGAACAAGCCCAAATATATCCTCCAAAAAATATCCTCCAAAGTTATATGCAAATTCCCAATTGTGGATGAAGAGGCAAAGGTTGCTCTTCCTGGACTAAAGAACCTTCTGAAAACTCTCAAAAGGAACAAACTTCTACTAATAGTCAGATGATTCGTGAAGGAATTCAATAAACAGTGCTGTTAGCAGGGACTAATCACATACAATTTCTTCACTACAACTTTATGACAGGCTACAACATATCCGTGGACTCAAACCTGAAAACTAAAAACCTCAATAATCACATTTCATGACACAAAGCACAACTGCACAGCTTTCTTCCGAGCTTAAAACACAGTCTAGTTGGGAAAAGCACAAATTGGACATTCAGAAAAAGCAAAAGGATATAAACTGCAAATCTGGGAGGAGAAATCTTCAAGGTAAGAGACTTATTAAAAAATGCTAACTAAACAATTGTGGCTATGTCATATATAATCTTTCAAAATACAAGGCATATTCCTGAGTAGCCAATGCCAGGACATTTTCATTACATCATTACTGTCATACACTATACACTTCTGCCTGTCATACCAAATACCACACAGCAGATGCTGATGCTCTGGCCAACTGCAGTGTGAGCAGCCTGTACTTCAAAGTTCAGGCACTGTATTAAAGCTTTTATCTATACATATATTTTATTTACTTTATATAATTAATAGAATTATGTATTCTATAAGGTTTGTTTTATCATGCTCACAGCTGAAGAACAGTAAAATCCCATCAAGCTCTGGTAAATGAAAAGACAGCAAATGCAACAAAGAAAAGCTTGATTTTTTTAAAAAACATGTTCACCAAAGACAGCATTAAATATGTTAAACTTTAGTAAAGGTACTAATAAATCTGTGTAAACTTCACAGTAACAAGTCATTCTTTAACCTCCAAAGTTAAAATAAAGCTACACTTGATTTAATTATAAAAATACAAACAAAACCACATTTCATTACTTTTCTGCACACTTCAATAGGCCCTAACACAACAGTAGTTCATTATACTCCATTAATGATATATCACTTTTCCTATAAGTAAGCCGAAAGCTATAGGAGGGCATTCACCTTATTACCGTGCTCTATAAATACTTCAAAAAACCTATGTGAAGATCTGTTAGGAACCAAAAACAATAACTATTGAAAATACAACACGTTATGAACCTCAACAACTTGAGGAATGTCACAAGAACCATCTCCAACTGGAAACCCGAGTCAAAGGCAGCAACAGACTGCAGCCACATGAGCCAAGGAGGAGCTCCTCGCTTCCTGCCCTCATCCCCTGCTCTCACCAGCAGACCACACACAATTACCTTCCTAATCAAGAACATCCAGTGAACAATCTGCTCAAAGATAATTGCTAAGTACATTTGCCATCAATATGCACAAAATTATCGCTAATAAATGTCACTGTGAATTACAGTCAAGTGCTACTAGACATAGTATAAACATGGATCTACCCCAGTGACAAGATTCACTTTCATACCATGCTGTGAGAAACCCCAAGCATAAGGAATAAAGATTGCAGGGGGAAGCTAAGAAAACATCTCAGCTTTTCTCCCTGTTGTACTGTGCTGCACTATACCACTGAAGCAAGAGGTGGACAATGTTTTTAAATGCAAGTATACACTCATAGGCAGTCTGCAGCAAAGGCAGAGCAGCTCCCGGTGCCTAAAGGGGCTCCAGGAAACCTGGAGAGGGGCTTTGGACAAGGGATGGAGGGACAGGACAAGGGCAATGGCTTGAACCTGCCAGAGGGGAGATTGAGATGAGCTCTGAGGCAGAAGCTCTTTCCTGTGAGGGTGCTGAGGCGCTGGCACAGGGTGCCCAGAGAAGCTGTGGCTGCCCCATCCCTGGCAGTGTTCAAGGCCAGGCTGGACACAGGGGCTTGGAGCAACCTGCTCTAGTGGAAGGTGTCCCTGCCCGGGGCAGGGGTTGGAGCTGGATGAGCTTTAAGCTCCCCTCTTACCCAAATCATTCCATGATTCTATAAAGAGGTGTTGCCTTCTAACACATCAGCTAGGTGACTTCATTCTTGGAGATCTCTCAGCACCGTTTAAACACATTAAACCATTTCAGTATGTAGCAGTTAATCTTTTGGCACCAGAAGTCTGCTTTCCCTAGAGCAAAGGCAGGTGCCAAGGAGTAAAACAGATTTTAATGAACAGTGTTCCCTATTCAATGAGCAAGCACCTCTTAGGTGTTCCCAACACGTGCCCTTCCTGGACTGACTATTGAGCGAAATCCAGAGTCAGATACTTCTAGTTGTTCTTCCATAATCCACTCACACCATATTAGCATTCTGATACCAGTCCTTCTTACAAGACCATTTTTGGCTTTATGCAATAAACAACATGCAATTACAAACTCAACAGGATCTTTACAACAAAGCAAAGGCAATCAAGGCTCTGTGCCAGCATTATCTATCGTGTTCTGTAGAGTATCTTAATACAGGCCTACACAAAGACCTGTGGCAGACAGTGTTACAACTTTCTTTTTGCTGTAATCAAACTGATTTTGAACACATGCACATTATTCATTCAGAAAGAATGATGTGATAGCAGAAAGAGAATAGCTAGATTACTTGAGCACCTTCCCTGCTACCTTTCTCCTTGTATAATACATAAGAAGGACATGGAGCTGTTGGAGCAAGTCCAGAGGAGGCCATGAGGATGATCAGGGGCTGGAGCACCTCCCAGATACAGACACGCTGAGAACATTGGGGCTGTTCAGCCTGGAGAAGAGAAGCTGTGTGGAGACCTCAGAGCAGCTTCCAGTGTCTGGAGGGGGCTACAAGGATGCTGGGGAGGGACCTTCATCAGGGACTGTAGTGATAGGACAAGGGGTGATGGGTTCAAATTGAAATAGGGGAGATTCAGGTTAGATATAAGGAAGAAGTTCTTTACTGTGAGGGTGCTGAGGCGCTGGCACAGGGTACCCTAAGAAGTGGTAAATGCTCCATCCCTGGCAGTGTTCAAGGGCAGTGTTCAAGGTTGGACAGAGCCTTGGATGTCATGGTCTAGTGTGAGGTGTCCCTGCCCATGGCGGAGAGGGTTGAACTGGGTGACCTTAAGGTCCTTTCCAGCCCTAACTATTCTATGATTCTAATATGTGATCCATTTCCTGGAGATGCACTTGGTTTTGAACATTCTGCTTAAACTCATTGAGTTTTCCTGTACTGTTGCATAAACTACTGCCCACTTATTAAATTTTAGCAGTTGCCTTTTCAATGAATCACTTCTAACCACAGTACTGTTATTTTCCCTCACTAGATTCCTGAAAATTGCATCAATTCCACTCCCTGGCTGCTGCTGGTTTATGAAACATATGTGAAAAGAAACACTAAATAATTGCAACATCAATGTTTCCATAGTAATACATGGTCAGCTTTACCCCAATTCTATTCTGTTTTTCTGAAGAGGACTCTTTGCACCTTCCAAACTCTACGAAAATGACTAAAGCTAAGGTAGGTCTACAGCATCACTTCTGAATAACTGTTTAAAATAAATGCCAAAATAAGTTTGTAAATAAATGGCCATGTTAAATTTAATACAAATCCTTAAAGAAAAAATAAACCAAACAACTCTAACCCTACTCTAGACGTCTAATTCGCTGTAAGAACCTGTAACAGCTTGTTAACAAACATTTAATTCTAACAGATGACAACAGCTAATGCATAACTAAAAGCTGTCATCACATTCTGAAGGTGTTCTCTTTCATATGTATGATACAAAAGAAGATGGTTTACAACAAATTCACACCCCAAAGGAAGTAAGTCTGTTTTATTACTGACTACCTATTTCCAATCTCACAGGTTGCCCCAAATTGTGAATGTTGTATGTAACCTCATGGGTACTTCATTTCTAGTTTTAATGCAACGTTTGGCATTCTTATCCTAAGCAAAACATAGAATTATAGGATAACCTAGGTTGGAAAAGGCGCTTAAGATCATCGAGTCCAACCATTAACCTAGCACTAACAAGGTCATCACTAAATCATGTCCCTGAATGCCATGTCGACCAACATTGACAAAGAACTTTTTAGTCTCTTGTGGGATATATGCTTCACTAGCACTATTGTATACCTACCGTATGAGCCCGGTGCTTTGTCTTCATAAGTAAAATGAAGTTGCAGCTCCTCCTCTGACATTTGACTGATGAATACTTTCAGCAAACAGCAAATAATAAACAGTGCATTGTGAGCTTGCCAAATAAAGAGGTGACTAGGAAAGAGCAGAAACAAAGAAGAATCAATAATGCTTAACCTGCTAACCTGCATCAAAAGCCACAAGTTAATATACGCCAGAGACAAAGGGGTTCCTACAGCTAGAGCAAGGAAAGCCAAAGTGCTCAAGCATGGAGTCTCCAGTTGATGATACAGTAAACTGGAAATGGTTTTAATAGCAGTATTTTTTTAATTCTCCCAAGAGAATACAACCTTATTGCTAAGTTTGTCTTGATAAAAAGACACCACAGTTGCCAGAAGTACCACTCTTTGAAGAGCTCAGCAGGTAGCTCAGCACACTTCTAAATGTTTCTGCATTCTGTGGACTCAAGCCACCCAGGTATTTGAAAATTTCCAACAGCTTCAGATACAGAAGCTATTCTGTCTCCCTGAGCACTCTTCCCAGTCAAACAGCCATGAGGTGACCATAGGCATTTATGGACTTCAGGAGCACAATACAGCAAGATTTTTCTATGCCTCATACACAAATATTTTCCAAACTTTCTGAATGTAACGACAATATAGCTTCTTTATGTTTTCTTGAGTCCCAGTAAACATCTGTTGGGAAGCCCATGCAACAGCACATAGTCAAGCTCTTGCCTGAAGCTATGTTTTCAGGGTATTTTTTGGATTAAAACCTCAGGAGCTATCCAGGCTGAGAACATTCCTGGGACAAAGTGGCATTAAAAGAAAGTCTTCCTTTTTGAAGTCCCAGATCTGATGAGGCTTGGACATTTGTCTGTGGGTGCTGGGGAACAATTACAGAAAGCTTCATGCAAAAAAACTATACAGTGCTACACACAGCTCTTGGAGTTCTTCACTACTGCTGGAAGCAGCAAGCAAAACCAATGGCAGTTGCACAATATGATTTGGAAGCAATGTCTTTATGTAGAAGTTTGTGTTCAAATCCAACCGAACTTAAAATATTTCCAATATAAAATACTGGTTCACATGCTAAGATTTAGCTAAAAAGGTCAGGTGTTTTCTAAACAGCTCTAAACCAGTAGCAACCAGAAGTTACACCACCTGTACATGAATGTGTTTGTGTAATACAAGATGAACACAAACAGGTCTTTTTTCCCCCTGGTGATCTATTTACCTATTACACTTAATCTGTGTTTGGAAAGGCACTAGATACCTGTTCCTTTTCAAACAACTTAAGAGAATTCTAAGTTTTGGTCTGTGAGCACGTTAATTAGCAAAGTAAAAACCTCAAGAGCTAGCAGCAAAAGCAACACTTAAGAAGTGAAATGGCATGCACAGCTTTTCTCCCTGGGCACTTACTTCTGACATTCTGCTGAAATTTTTAACTCTTTGGTTCTAGAAAGAAAGACTTTAATCAATGACCCAAGGTTTCCTGTTCGAGGATTCTTCTCAACTAAATGAGGAAAAATAAGATATGATTATACAGCATTTCAAAGTTGACACTATTTAGTTCAAAAAATACACAGAATGAAACCAAATTTCAATGTCTTAAAGCACAGTATATCTAGTTTTTCTGCACAGCTGTTGTTGTTCTTTTAAGATCCTCCAGTACATGCTTTACTACTCTGTAATTGTTCTCTAAACATACTTTTCAGCCTAGATTTAATATAGCCCAAATGTGGAGCTCCTACTGCTTTCTCCTCAAGACTTATCTATAGCACAACAGTCTCCTGTAAAAGACATGGGCAGATATTTCCTTAACTAGTTTTTACCTTTTTGAAACATTGTCGATCACATTTAAACTATCCCTTACTTTCACTCTACAATTAATTCTCTCCCTTCACTGGTCAACTTAGAGGGCAGAGGTAAAAAAACATAGTAGGGATGGAATTATTTGTTTTGTACCTTTCAGTTATTTCAAGCTCTACAAAACAATTGACAATGGAAGTTTCTAAAAGTCAGGGATATATATACATATACATACATAATACAATCTTTACACTATTACACACGGAAAGGAAGTTTGGTATACTAAAGACATGCATGTGCACATGAATGCTGTTTCTTAATTTTTCTGATAAAGCATATGGAAAAAAAGATGCTACAAATTCTCACCTAAAGACTTGCAGATTGAGACTGTGGCTTCTTCCAAGAGCTTTAAGTCAGCACTGGGAGAGTGAAAAAAGAAAATAAAAATGGTTACACAAGCAATTGGGTTCCTGTACTTGAAGTGAAAATTCATTACAAAACAGTAGTAAAGTATTTCTATGAAGCATCTAATTTTCCTGATCCATTCACAATAGGACAAGGGGTAATGCGTTTAAACTTGAACAGGGGAAGTTCAGGTTAGATCTTAGGCAGAAGCTCTTCCCTGTGAGGGTGCTGAGGCACTGGCACGGGGTGCCCGAGAAGCTGTGGCTGCCCCATCCCTGGCAGTGTTCAAGGCCAGGTTGGACACAGGGGCTTGGAGCAACCTGCTCTAGTGGAAGGTGTCCCTGCCCGTGGCAGGGTTTGGAGCTGGATGAGCTTTAAGGTCCCTCCAACACAAACCAGTCTGGGATTCTATGATTAGCTGGTTTACATAGATATCACAGAAGCACAGAGTGGTTGAGGTGAGAAGGGACCTCTGGAGGTTAGTCACCTTGTCCAATCTCCCTGCTCAACCAGGGCCACCTAAGGGGTGGCTTTTGAGTTACTCCAAGCCTCTCTGGGGAAACCATTCCTGTGCTTGGTCATCCTAGTATCAGGCAATACAAGATGCATTTGAAGTACAGTTACTATAATACAGGAAACTAATACTCAAAATGCTTCTCAAAGTGAAATGATGACATTACATCCTTCATATTGCTACTATCTTTGTGGCTTCAGTGCTACAGGCTGTGCGGAGAAGAGATTCAGAGCAGCCTGTGGAGAAGGACTTGGGGGTGGTGGTTGATGAGAAGCTTGACATGAGCCGGCTTCAGTGTGCGCTTGAGCCCAGAA